GTCAAAATAATGTAAGAAACATCGCTGAGGAATTATTCACTTGCAAGTGCATAATTCGACCTCATTGGATCCGTATTCATGTGACCTTCAATTTAACCCATTATCTAGAGATTGGTTACGCATGTATTAGTCGTGTTCAGCCATTAAAAGGAAAAGAATGTCAACATTGAAAGTGAAACAAAGGTGAACCATTTCGTTGACTGATTCGATCCACAAATAATCATTCTTATACAGGTAAAAACGATGATTATCTTATTTTTTTAACCTATTACATGAAATCAAACAGACCTAGAAAATTCCAATTGCACGAGGTCGCTATCTATTTATATTTATGTTTATGTTTATATCGGTTTATGTGACTGTCGGCAGTCTCCGGAGGTCATCTCGATGATTAATTAGATGGCGTCTAAACTAAAATACACACGAAATGCTGATATACATATTATTGAATCCATGCATTGTTAATTGTTTATTTCAGACTTATTGTAATTTGGATATACGTTTTAGTATGTTATAAATCAAATATTAGAATTTGAGTCAAATCGGTGAACATGAATTCGACAGCTAATGCCCTTTTAAGGAGACCTGTATTAACAATATTCTTTAAGGTTTATGACCCCTTCTTTAGCCATGTGAATACAAAATGTTCATACCGCAATAGTATCAAAACAATAAAGATAATGAATAATTGATGGCCATTTTGTACATATACCAAGGGGAATCTTCGTGCAAACCATTATTATTTATTGTTTCATTGCATTTAATAGAAAAAGGGGATTTTTAGGCAAATAAAACCAAGATTTTTGTAAAACATCCACAGACTTTAATGCAGAGATTTTTGGTATAAAATTTTAGACATAGATTACTCACTTGTTTTTCTGTGTCGTGCTAGCGTTTATTGTTTACAAAAAGTCATAAACAAACTTTAAATTCCAAAAAACCTCGTGCTGAGTCACTAAAGTCGAGCGCACCCTAGATGGTGTACTTGAATTGGTCCATATTTATATTTGTTTTAACCAATATCTAAATTAATAAACTTGTTTTAAGGAAATCATTGCTAGCACTGGATGTAATTATCCTCTATCTATGAAGCACCGAATTGCCAAATATGATGATGATGATGATGATGATGATGATGATGATGATGATGATGATGATGATGATGATGATGATGATGATGATGATGATGATGATGATGATGATGATGATGATGATGATGATGATGATGATGATGATGATGATGATGATGATGATGATGATGATGATGATGATGATGATGATGATGATGATGATGATGATGATGATGATGATGATGATGATGATGATGATGATGATGATGATGATGCAAATTAAATACATACTCGTCCGAACATGGTAATGTAAAATGAATATTTTTACCCTGCTTTAAACAGGCCAGGATCACAACATTTCCTGACGTCAGTATATATTTGCATAGTAATTTCCCAAATAGAAGGTAAACATAGCCTTGAAAAAACTGACCAATCGACTCAATAAACTACAATGCATTGTGGGCTACTACGAGTTTTACTACACATAAAAACACGTGGAATTAGTGGAAAACTGTCAACTTATATAGTGTCTGGGACTCTCATAATACGTATTTTAAATCAGCCAATATATTAAATTAAAATATATAACATAATCTTCAATTTGCATGCTCAAATTAATAAAATATTGTTTACTGGCTACACGATTCGACTTTCTTTTTCGGCTTGAAAAAGTAGTTGAACAGGTTTTGTCCATTGTTATATGCATTGTACCTGTGCATTCATTTTACGTGTAACAGTGAAATTTCCCATGAAGTGACCACTGTCCAGTATAAAAATCATTTCAGCTCTTTGAAACATGTCAAAACGGTTGTACACCTCTCTCTATATATATATGCTCTTGGATTTTTTTGCATCTTGTATAATGCCATTCCAAAAACATTAAAGTTCGACATTGTTTTAATAAACACGAGTCCTTTTCCCGTAGCGGTCGCATCGGTGCTTATCAGGGTATGGATTTCAGATTAGAGATATATAATCGTAATATTCTTAAACATATATCTGTTGTGGCTAACAGCTAGTATAAAATGGGAAACAGTATCTAAGAAATACGATACTCTTGAAATTTTGACGCAGAACATTAACCCCTTACAGGAATTTAAATCCGAAAGGGACCTATTTCGGGCAGAATTAAGAAAAACAAAACACTTTTATCAAATAAATGAAAGAAATATAACAGGTTTAGATCCAACGCTGTAGTTTTCACAAAACATATCAAAGTTCACGTCCTTGTCGCACATAAACATGGGAGGCATCAGAAATGATTTTATTAAGATTGACAAATATCCGAGTCCGTAAAAAAATATAAAAAAATCCAATATCTACAATAGAAGAAAATAAACTTTGCAAAATCGACAACAAAACTAAACCACAGCTTATTGCAATTATTGAATAAAATATTGCTTTATTACCTTCAGAACATAGGGAACAGTTTGAGAAAGAAAAAAAAATCCCAAAAAACTGAAATATGTAAAAAAATCAATTCTTATAGATTTTGTTAACATTGTCAGACAAGAATTAAGAAATGTCGTGAACAGTTTTGACGAATTATGATAATGGCAAACCAATCTTACTGAAAGGTGTTTGTGTTTGTTTCTTAGAGACAAAGTAATAAATACACATCCTTCCTCGATTTAAATGACTTTTTAATCATAAAAGTAGGTACATTATCATTACATCAATTATGTGAAAAGCTGGGACATTTTAGTGACCCAAACATATATTTGAAACACTCTAAGTCTTCCCCTTTTTAACTCACCTAGCCCAATGTGCCAAGTGAGCTTTTCTCATCACTTGGCGTCCATCGTTCGTCGTCGTCCGTTAACTTTTACAAAAATCTTCTCCTCTGAAACTACTGAGGCAAAATTAACCAAATTGGCCACAATCTTCATTAGGGTATTTAGTTTCAAAAAATGTGTCTGATGACTCCGCCTGCTAACCAACATAGACGACATGGCTAAAAACAGAACATAGGAGTAAAATGCAGTTTTTGGCTTATATCTCTGAAACTAAAGCATTAAGAGCAAATCAGAATGGGGTTTAAATGTTAATAAGGTTTAGATCTATCTGCCCTGAAATTTTCAGACGAATCAAACAACCCGTTGTTGGGTTGCTGACCCTGAATTGGTAATTCTAATGAAAGTTTGCAGTTTTTGGTTATTATCTTAAATTTTATCATAGATAGAGATAAACTGTAAACAGCAATAATGTTCAGCAATGTACGATCTACAAATAAGTCAATATTACAAAAATTGTCAATTGACCCCTTTTAAAAGGAGTTATTGTCCTTTATAGTCAATTTTTAACAATTTTTCGTAAATTTTTGTAATCTTTTACAAAAATCTTCTCCACTTAATCTACTGAGCCAAATAGAATTAAACTTAGCCACAATTTTCAATAGGGTATCATGAAAAATGTATCCGATGACCCTGTCATTCAACCAACATGGCCGCCATGGCTAAAAATAGAACATAGGGGTTTACTATAGAGGTCTATGGGAAACTTGTAAAAAAACAATTTCAAATGGTCACAACTTGAAAACTAATTTAAATAATGATAAGGGGTCTTCAGTAACTATTGTAAAACTACAATGGGATGACCTGTTTTTAATTTATCTACTGGGCCAAATTAAACCAAACTTGGCTTCAATCATTATTAGGGTATCTTATACTATTTATTATGTTTTTAATCTTATTTTACATGATTTCCATTAACACAGTAGATACAGGTGAGTGACACAGGCTCTTGAGAGCCTCTAGTTTAAGAACCTACTCAAAATTCAAGGATCCATTATTTTTTAACTATCCAAACGAAAGTACGTCTTATAGGTAATTGTCTTGTGGACGAATATCTGAAATCTTCGTTTAATCATCTATTATATAAATGCCTATATTTTGGGTAATTCAAACATTCGTTTATTTGCATCGAAACAACTATTCGTTATCTGAGCGTGGAACGAATACTTTATATCAAGGACACAATGTGGATACAAAAGGAAAACTAAGCGAAATTGTTTATCCCGAAATGCATGAAAAAATGAGTTGTATTTCAGTTAATAGAAATAAGAAGATGGGATAACACGTGTTCCCGGTTGATCTTAAACACGTAGTAGTCCATCGTGTATTATTCTTCGTTTAGTGGATTGGTCAAAAACCTAGGTAAAAAAAATACGCCGTACGTAAATAAACCATTATATTTGCGACAACATAAGTATGCTAATGTATGCATATCCATATAAAGGCAGTGTTCCCAACCTGTTAAACTAGACTGGATTTTAAATGTGCTAGTTCACAAGTTAACAGCTACACAATGACATGTCACCTTACCGGATACATTATTCTGACTCCGAGCTGATCAGTTTTTGATCTTACTCCTTAATTACCACGTGTTTAGCGGCGAAGCAACAAACTGATTTTAGATTCTTTGGTTTGAACCGGCCAGGGTTCAGACCCACGACCTCCCGAACTCGAGGCGACCACGCTACCACGAGACCACCGTGGCGGTTGTATTTATTAATTAACTTTTCAACAATTTTAGAACTCCATAGCATTATGAAAATCTAACATTTAACCATCACACATCATTAATTATAAAAGTATAAAAGTATTCAGATTTCAAAATATTATAACCATCCGAAAGTTTTATATTTCATTCATTAATTAAGATTTCAACGATTTCAAAATAGTATTTTTAAAATTTAAATTAATCACCACACGGCATTAATCAATTAAAATGCTTCCAAGGTATTTTAAAAACAAACAGTTAGTGTAACACATACGATTACTATATGTATTGTATCAGCAACGGATATGGTCAATTGTCATCCAGGATGTTTGTTTTGAAATAACTTTTCACGCTTCCTTAGTTATAAAAGTATTTAAATAAACTTGATAAACAGTTATATATATGTATCTAAGGCCTCTACACAAAATACACATACAGTTTATTAAATGCGAGTAGTAACCAAGTGTGATGACTTGGATTTATATATCTGTAGCTTTGCTTGCAGCAAATACAATTTCCATAGGTATGTTTTGTTTTATTCAAATTTTAATTGTTGCTGCTAAGTCCTGGATTTTGACTGGGGTGGGCAAATAAAAAATTACCAGCAGTATAATAGCTTAACATCAACGGATATGGTCGATTTTAAAAAATTTTATTTCAGTTAATTCAATTTACATTCGAATAGTAAAATATTTCGAGTTCTATATTTTATCAATTTAATGTTATAAAGAAATGTAAATGTAAACAATTAGTGTAATACATATTTTTACTATACATGTTGTTTTAGTAGAGGATATGGTCGATTGTCATCCAGGACGTTTGCTCTGAATTGATTTTTCACGCTTCCTTAGTTTTAAATATGCGCATTTAGGTAAACAGCTTTATATATTGATAGTCCCTATTGAATCCACCCATAAAATATGTTTACCACATACGTAACTATGATGACTTGGGTTTATATTTCTGTAGCATTGTTTGTGGCAAATGCAATTTCCATAGGTACATGTATGTTGTGTTTTATTTAATTTTTCATTACCATTACATTTTCCGCATCTTTTCTGCCAGGCACTGATTTTTACTTAAGCAGATATACACCGCATTAAACCAAGTGTTCATGCCAAAATTAATTTAGCTCAAGTATTTGGATTTTCTTCTTAAATTACGGTTATAAGTTATGGAATAAATATTGCTACCTAGAAAATATAATAAAAATCGAGTAAACAATTGCATAGACTCAAAACACCGCGAGACACACCAACTGATAATCGACCAGAATTACGATGGGTTGTTTTGAACATCTTTATAAGTATTTTTTTTACCGTATCGTGCATTTCAAGCTACTTTCTACACTAAATTGTGCAGTACTATTGCAACAGCAGTAAGAATCAGGCATAACTCATATAATGAAACAATTGCCCTCATATAAAGAAACCTTCAAATAGATATAAGAAGATGTGGTATGAGTGCCAATGAGACAACTCTCCATCCAAGTCAAAATTTATAAAAGTAAACCATTATAGGTAAAAGTACGGTCTTCAACACGGAGCCTTGGCTCACACCGAACAGCAAGCTATAAAGGGCCCCAAAAATTACTAGTGTAAAACCATTCAAACGGGAAAACCAACGGTCTAATGTATATAAAAAACGAGATCGAGAAACACTTATGAACCACATCAACAAACGACAACTACTGGACATCAGATTCCTGACTTAGGACAGGTGCAAACTATGGAACGCCACAGCTGTCTTATGTGGAACTCTGATATTACGTTATGTTGTTCTATTATTACTTGATGATAGTTTGTCTTTACATAATATGGTTTTGACATTACGTAATGATGTTTTGATATAACTCAATATGGAGTAGTCATTACATAATGATATTTCGATATTACATGATATGGTTTCGTATTGACTTGATATAGTTTTGTCATTACTTAATATGGTTCTGTCATTACTCGATGTGGTTTCACCATTATTTGATGTGGTTATGTCATTAGGCAATGTGGTTTCAACATTACTTGATGTGTATGTGACATAACGTAATGTAGTTGTTTCATTACATGATATATACAACATTGGTACGTTGGCACAACATTGGCCTAACGTATCTACATGCATTGGCCCGACGTTGTTTTTAAACGTTGGCCCTATGTTGGCCAAACGTTATGGCTAAACGTTGGCACAACGTTGTAATGTTTTATACAATACATTGGCCCAACGTTGGTCCAATGATGGAATAATAATTGCCGATGTTGAACAAACGTTGGACTAACGTAGTAATACAAACTGTTAACAAACGTTGGCACTCCGTTGGTTCAATCTGTAAACTTTTCTATCCATATAAAGGATACTAAAATCCCTTCCAGACAACAACTGCAATAATTCCTGGTTCTTACATCAGTTCAAAATGGCGAAAGTATTTCTTTTTTTAAATGTTGCAATTATTGCGTTTTACAGATCCACTATACCATGTTGTGTCTTACATTCTACCGGCAAATTTTGTTTTTTGCCACTTTCTCTCAATCTTCCTGAACATGCATGAAATATTTGCCAATGGACGTTTCAGTAACCATCAACTAATCAATCTCTCTCCAGGAATTGTACTTCTGCATTCTATACCCATATTTGTATGAACTCAATCAACGTATCCATGTTACCTATTTTTCTTAAATAATGTAAATTCAAAGGTATGATTAAATATAATTTATTATTAGCTAGACAACCAGCAAATTTTAAAAAAGTCTTTTTTTGTATCTATACGTTGCTAAATCAGATCTATAGAATGAAAATTATAAAGTTTATTCATGATAATTCATTTATCCCATTTGTATAATATCATTACAGTTTATGTTGCAATATTCAAGCTCTGTATGAAGGCCTTGATAATTCATTTCATACAGCTATTTTCTTAGTTCTGTATTCCAACATGGTTTTTATTCACAAGAGAGTTCCTTTTGTTTTCTGCTACACTTTGTTTGGTCACTATTTCTGGCTCCGTCTTATGTTAAATCCTTTTAATATCCAGTTTAGCATATCTTCATAAAAGTTATTTCACTACATGTACCTCTGTAATAAAGTAATGAATAAATGAGTACTAGTACTCAATGTATGTATATCTAGAATATATTAAATCCTCCTTGTCTTCTGTAGTACTCAGATACCTGACCTATAAATTTATATTAAAATGTAAAATTATATATTAAAAAGAAAAGCTACTTCAAGTAATTCAGACAATAATCTTTATAGTCTTTTTCTTTTATAAATATCCTTATGTGTTGTATAGTCTTTTTTTACATCCCCCTATTTTTTTTATATTTCAAGCGTCAGCTTTTTGTGACTGATATTTACTCTTACAAACTATTCAAATATCTTTTCTTTTGCAAAAGTTTTGACGAGGACAAAAAAACTAAATTCAGTCGAGTCCGTATAATTATATATAAATTACAACATTCTTGCAATGAATTTAATAAATAGATACTGTATTTGATATCTTAAACACTGTTACACATGCAAGTGTGTGTATGATCAGGTTTCACAAATATATCGTATATGGTTGCATGCGATTTAGAAATAATAAAACTAACAAATTCATTTATATTTCTATGAAGTAGAAATCGATATACCACATTTCTGAAACTCCACGTAACAAGATACATCTTAAGACAGATTTTTCCATCATAACTTCAGTAATGGTGATATATGCAATGGTTATAGATTTCAGAAATAAAATATTAAAATATTAGCAATTTACAATTTGTTTTATGATACTAATGTTTAGTGGCAAATATTTCATGATTATTTAGGATTGAAATGGTTTAAACAAAATCTAGAAAATATTTCGCCAGAAACATATAAACTTAAAGATCAACATTATAAAATGATAGAAATTATATGTTTTAATTTTGAACAACATCCCTCAGATTAAAAAAAAAACAATATTGTTTGTCATTCACAATCGTATATATAACAGAATTTTTAAAGTTATAACTTACATGTCACTTTCTTTTTCTTTGAACCTCAGATGATATGAATTTCTCTTTTTGTTTTCTTCGTTTCACTGCTTTCTTACAAATACACAACAGGAAATAACCACAAAAGTGACCATCCCATTACATTCAGATATCCTATAAACTTAATTACCATAGCAACTATCTTTGAAATTTGTCTAACATATGGTCAACCTTATCAGAATGTGCTTGATTAACAGACTGGCTGTATCAAATATCACTCTGTATATAATTGCTAAATTATTATGTTTCACAAAGTTTAATGAATAAAGTTATTATAAATAATGATTGCAATAAATTTAAAATTTTAACCAGGCAATCTAGTATGTTAACGATATATTTTTTTTATTACAGTAATGCTATTCCAGTATAAATTTACCTGACTTATATATAGAGGATAATATAGTATCAGCGTTGGCCCAGCATTGCCCCAACATAGAGTTGTAAATGTAATTTCAGGCCATGAACACTTTCGGTATAACATTAACTTTACATAAAGCATGCAGCAATCGAAATCATCCGCCTTCCCAAGAGAAATAAAGCGTAAAATATTTCATAATCAATTTTTATTAAAAAAATTTCATATCGGCCCTATGTTGCTACTAACATAATGTCAACGTTGGCTCAATTATTCATAACAAACATGAGATAATAATATGGATTTACAACAACAACCCAACGTTGGGCCAATGTTGTGCAGCCAACACCAACGTGCGACCAACGGACCGACAATTTGCCAACGTTGGGCCAATGTTGTGCAGCCAACACCAACGGTCTACCAACGGACCGACAATTTGCCAACGTTGGGACAATGTTGTGTAGCCAACACCACCGGTCGACCAACGGACCGACAATTTGCCAACGTTGGCCCACTGTTAGTCTGTTGACTGTGATGTGGTTTTGTTATTTCGTAATAATGATTTGTCAATTCTTTATATGGCTTTAACATTACGTAATGATGTTTCAAAATTTGACGATTTTACACTACATAATGTGTTTGTTTCAGTATTTGATGTGGTCATGTCATTCTTTGATGTGGTTATCCCATTACTACTACGAGGTAAAACCACGTGACCATTTTGGAAAAAATATGTTCTATTTTTAGACCGATTTCCATATGTCGTTTGTGTAATACGCTTTGGATGAGTACCGCTATTGATTAAGTTAAAGTTCAAATTAAATTTCAAGTTATTGTTCATGGTTATTTGGTATGAAAAAGGGGAACGACAGACAAAATTAAGAAAAAAAGTACTAAAACATTTACAGTAATTCGGACATAAGGGGGTATCCCAAAACCACTTGCCGGTTTTTCCTTAGTTCTCAAATGGAAGCAGTAGTATAATAAATTCGTAAATGATTCCAAGGAACACTGCTTTATCTTGGTCCTGAAGAATAACTCCTATACAAGTTTTATAACAATTCATGGAGGTTAACAAATTTATCACGTCAAAATAGTTTAATTCGGTAATATTCAATGCCAAAAAAAAAATCCTTACATAGAAATAGAAAAAAT